CACGCTACGGAGCGGCTAAATTGAGTTTGCTATCGTCTGTTTAGTATTATATATAAATTATATATAAATTAGGTACTGTACATATAATTATATATTAATTATATATAAATTAGGTACTGTATATATAATTATATATTAACTTAATTTATTGTAACTTTATTATAATTATATATATGCTTTCTGCCGCCTGGCAACACGCTACGGAGATTTTAGGCTAGTAAGTTGAGTTTATTATCGTCTGCACAGTATGTAAATTAGGTACCGTAAGTCTAATACAGCACTAATTTTATACATTTCTTGTGAAAGAAACACTTCTTATTCAACGGCCATAAAAATTATTTATATTAATGATGTCTCCAAAGGTCAAGTTATTTTTATGCGAAAAATTCGTTATTAGAAATCGCGGCCCGTCGTTTAATGTGCTGTTCCGCGATGAAAACCAGCTTTAAGCAACGGCGTAGTCGAACGGTGTAAGTAATCCTACAATTTTTTGTTTATAGCATAGTTTATACAGATTATTCCCAAAAAATTATACGTATTTTGGAAATGTTGAGTGGAATTAGTCTAGAATCGGTTAATTTTATAGAAGAAAACCTTTCGAACAGCCTTAGTCCGTAAAGTTCCCACCTATCGGGCTGCGATTGGCTCATGTATTTAATCGTTCCTACAACATAATTTTCGGTTAGCGTGGAACGTATCTAAGCGTTATAGGGGGGTCTACTGTACTGTATTAGACTTACGGTACCTAATTTACATACTGTACAGATGATAGTTCGCCTAAACTCTCCGTAGCATAGCGCTAGACGGCGGACAGCATATATATAATTATAATAAAGTTACAATAAATTAAGTTAATATATAATTATATGTACAGTACCTAATTTATATACAATTATATGTACAGACGAAACTAAAATCAATTTACCCGCCTAAACTGTCCGTAGCGTGGCGCTGGACGGCGGGAAAGTAGTTCGGCTGCCCGATGACGTTTTACGCAATTATAGGAATTTTTTACCGTTGTGTACGGATACCGCCACAATTTTTTTGCCGTCCTATAGGAATCGTAATTATTGGAACCAATCTTATAGGGGGATCTACTGTATTAGAAATATATTGATATACAATAAGTTTTATTGATGAAAATATTTTAATGGAGTTACTCTATTAAAGCAGTTTTAGTGTTTTTTTTAAAATGTTTTATGGAGTTCTTGAATTATTCTAAAATAGTAGCAGTTGTAAGTTGAGTTGAAAGGTATTCATAACAAATAGTTATTGAAACTAATTATGGATGTTAAGTGAGGAATGATTGCACTTTGTGTGTAAAATATATGAAGAGAACACGTTATAAATCATCACTTAAAATGAAAAAAAGAACTCAGAGCAAAGTTAGTTTTTAACAAATAAATAGTTTGACACACACAAGTTTGACACACAGTTTCAATTATAACATAAAATTTCTTCTGTAAGAAAGACTTTAAATATTCAACCCCACTATGCTAACATTGTCACTTTCTATTTGAGAGAGAGAGAGAGAGAGAGAGAGAAAGAATATACAATTCATATTACTTTAAATGATAAACAGTTTCTCTTTATCTGTAGACTTCTTTAACCTTTAAAACAAACTATTTTTATTAAATTGAAGAATGAGAGATGACGGAAATTTTTATTTCATTCTGGAGAGCAAATGGATGAGCATAACTCACCTTGTGGGAGGACAAGAACACTGAGATTAGAGCTTAACTTGCCTCTTGGGAGGACGAGAATGTTAAGGAGAGAGCTGTCATTTGGAGGTGACCTGTCTCTTTTAAACAAAAATCTCCTCCAATCAGAGAGTCAAAATAAGCCTTCCACTCTTTCAATGCATGACTGAAGTTGGGTGGTTTTTCAGATAGGATGTGTGAAATCCCACATTAAACTATTGATTTTGAAGAACTGTGTTATCTTTTTCCAACTGAACAGGAAGTTCCTTTTTTTAAAACTTCATACATTTTTACAAAACAAGTAAAAATTTACCAAATAATTATTACAATATTTTGTTATGATTATTAACTAGAGTATAAATTTTAAAAAAATGATGGCAAAGTTATTAAATAGCCAAACAGTGTGCTAGTTTATCAGTAATTCCAATATATGTCAAATCTTTGCCCCATCTTTCATCTTCAAAATATTATTGAAGATAGACTTTGTACAAATTACTGTAGTTAATACTAATTTTTTAAACTAATTGTACAGATTTACAATTATCTCCTTACATGTTGTGCATTTACTGGGCATATTATTTTATAAATAAATTCATCAAACATAATAAATAAATCAATAATAATTATTGTTTTCAGCAAATATTTATCATAATTACTAATCATTTATTAGTAAGTAGATTCCCATGTATAAGTTTTTAAGTTATTTTAGCTGCAATTCAACTGGTCTTAATTATGCCAATTAAACCAGATGTCATCCCATCCTTGAGTGTATTCTTCATCCCCTTTTGTTAAAATGGATGGATCTATCCAGCAAAAGGCAATCCAGTGCAATTGAATGCAAAGCATTCAATTATACTGGATTGCCTTTTGCTCTCATTATAATTCTGACATGTAAGTATAAAATTGCTTGAGAGAACAAATCATACAGGAACATGACTAAGATGGAAACAGGCTTTTATTGGTTTGTGAGGATTAATTAAGGATTTTATAATTAATCTATTTATTTTTTTTACATCATGGTTCTGAATTGACAAAGTTATAGTTTCCAGTAAAGATAATGTTGAGAGATCTATCCTTCTAATAAAAAAGTTCTTAAATATCATATACAGGTAACCCCCGTATAACACGGCACTTCTATAGCACGGATTCGCTCTAACATGGTTTGAGAATTGGTACCATCCCCCGTATAACACGGTGCTTTTATAGCACGGGTTCACTCTGACACGGTTCGAGAACTGGGTAAAATCCTCGAACAACTGGAAATGTAATAAATTTTTACATACTTAACTAATAATAGTTCACGAAAATTATTATTTTCGTGAACTATTATTACTTAAGTACGTAAATTTTCTCTTCTCGCCTTCTGTCGATACACGTGGTCCTTCTCGAAACTTGTTTCAATGTTGCCAGATCGCGACGCTTCTGCTTCTGATGTTACCGAATGTTTTTTTCTTATTCTATACTTGCTTTATTCTTCATAAGTGCTTAGCACCATATAAGGAAATTTATAAAAACCTTTTAACCAGAAGCAAGCAATCTAAAATTACATACATTTTGCAAAAGGTAAAGCATGGATCTGAAGATAATGCAGAAAAATGCTCAGAGGATAAGGATAACTTGCCAAAAAGAAAACACTCTTGGTTAATTAATAGTGTTTTTAGTGATGACGAAGAAAACGTTGTTTAATTTATATTAATATGTATCACTTACAAAAATTTTAATGAAGATATTTATCTTAATTATGAAAATATACTAGCATGTTTTTTAATTTTTGGAACCTAACCCACCTTTTCGCATTAGTTCTTTGTTTCGTATAACACGGATTCGCATAACACGACAATTTTTTGGAACGTAACTACCGTATTATACAGGGGTTACCTGTATCTGTAACAAGTCTGCTTAGTTCATTTTCTATCTTCATGATGTTTGATGGATTTCAGCTGTCTGTAGTATTTATTTGTACTGGATTTGTACTATAACTTTGTCAATGCAGAACTATGATATAGGAAAAGTAAATAGATTAATTATAAAATCCTTAATTAATCCTGAGAAACCAATAAAAGCTGTTTTCATCTTAGTTGTGTTGCTGTATGATTTATTTTCTCAATCAATTTTATGCTTACTCAAAAGAAGCTTTGCATTCAACATTTCTAACATTATAGTTGATTTGCTTCTGAAAAAGATAGCTCTTGCAGAGAACATCATTTTGAATGTGATTATACATACAAACACAAAAAAAACAGTTAGAAAGATGACATAGTATGTATTTGCATACACAAAAAATTATTATTCTTGATAAAGAGTTAAGAAAATTTAATTTCTCTATTCACAAGTGGTATTTATGGGCCCCTGGCTAAGCATCAGTGACAATTTAATCATTTACTATGGTTATACTATTTCTATATTTATATGAATTTGGAAACAGTGATTAAAGTGAGATAATATGACTGGTAATATAATTAATTGCCTGGCTTGCAAAAATTTTGATTCTAGTCAAACATTTTTAAATTTATTAGTAAATTTTTTAAAATTTAATTTTTAAGTTTATATTTTTACAAGATAGTGTATTATCTATCTACAGGCCAAATTTCAATAGCATTTTAATTAAAAATATCATAATTATAGTCTGAGAAAACTAGTAGAATTTTTTTCCCTTGCAAGTATCAGTTTAAGAGTTGAGGAAGATACTTTTCATTAACATACAAACATAATGTAAACTGTATGAAAACATGAAAATAATTAAAACATTAAAAATGAGAGTTTTTTTTAAATTTAAATAATATTTATTTGCATAGAAGGCTTTTGCCTGTTACAAGGGTGTTTTTTAAAAATGCATATTAACATCACATATATTATTATTTTAACAACTTTGATTTTTTCTATTTATTAATCTATAGAATTATATTAATAATTTATCACAATTATCATTTAATTAGTTGTTTAACATAGTTATATAACATATATAAAAGTGAGAGTTTGGAATATACGATTCTAAATTTTCATTTTTTGATGTTTACAAATAAAATGTTTAAATTAATATGATTGCTATATTTTAAATATTTTATTTGAATTAACAAGCATCGTGACTTGTTTATACATTAAAGAAAGTTAATTGCAGAATAATTTTTTTGTATTTTAAAGCATTATTTTAAAATTTAATTGACCATTTAAAAACATATTTTTATGGATTGAATTTAATAAATTTTTTACCATGTAGGTATCAGATATACTATTTAAAATATTAATTTTATTATGATGATAAAAATATTATTATTAAAATAATTTAAAATTATGAAATAGGAATATGAAGATCTGACTAGTAAATTAAACGAATTTCAATTGAAAGAACAGAAATTATTAGAACAGATAGATGTAGAAAGTAATGGAAGGGATTCTCCTGAATTTTGTGATCCTGATTATGACGATGGAAGATTTGGTGATTTTTCTTCTAGTACTCAATTGCTGCCTAATAATAATCAAGGAAGTTTCTCAGGTTAGTAATTTACTTATTAAAAATGGACTTTAATAAAATATTTATTTAAAAAGACTATATTTTTAAATTTACAATAGTGGTAAAAATAATGTTGTATTTTCTTCTAGGATTTAAATATTGTAAATTAAAATTTTTTTTTTTTAAATCTTCTATGAAGTTAAAAAATGTTTTAATGTCAAATTTTTCCTAAAGATAATGGTTATATTGTTGAAATTACTTGCAAAGTTTTGTGAGATTAAAGCCAGATGATTTTTCCAGATGAGGCCTCAAAACAGATCACTGGTTTTAAATTAGTCACTTTTTTTGAACTATTTCAGCAATATATCACTATTTCTCACTTTTTCTGTCGTAGGCAACAACATTTCTGTGACACCAAGTTGTCACATGTTACTTCAATAATTAATGTTTAAGTACTGTACTTAAATTGTGACACCCATAACATCTTTCTTTTGTTGTACGTTGAAAGCTTTATGTTGTTATGTGACTTTTGAGGTTTTAAAAATATTAGCTATGCAATATCATGAATTTGAGAGCACATAGTCTAACATCGACAAAAAATTTCTTTGAAGTACAGTATTTTTAATTCCTTTCAAGCTCCTCACAATTAACCTCCATTCCTTCAGTTTGAGGGTAGCCATTAATAAACTAGTCTAAAAATGAAAACTAACTGCAAAAAAAACAAATGATAAACAAACATAATTTAAAATGACACGAGTTATCATTTTTCTATTTTTGTTTTAAGAATTTTGATAGTATAACAAAATTACCAATTTAAATTTTTTTTCAAGTTTGTTAATATTTTATAAAATTTGGAAAGTTTATTAAGGGTTATTAACAACAATTTAATAAATTTATAGCTTTGTAACAGATTACAGGATATATTGATGAATAATAAATTAAAATAGTGTTTTACTTTTCCTGTGTCATATTTGATCTTCCAAGCTTTTTGCACAAAATATGTTTTAAGTGGTTTTCCAAGGTGCCGTGTTTAAATATTTGGTCCATTTTTCACGAAATTTGATTTGTTGGCAGATTACCATTTGATATTTAGCTGTGAATGGAACAGTTTGTTAGAGCTAACATTAGAAAAATATAATGTTTTAAAGAATTTAAGATATCATATTTCAAATTGCTTTCTACTTGACCAATGAAATTGTCCTATTTCATACCATCCAAGTATTGCAATAAACATAACAGCGGAAGGCTAAAGTAACCAAACTCTATATTGTTTTTGTTTAAGGTTAGTTATGTTATAATATTTGATTTAATTTACATAACTACAAAGGTTATCTTATGTAAGGGTTTATTACACAATATGACCAATCTAGTACATTTTAAATAAAAAATTTTTTATTACTCTTCTGTACACATTTTAAAGAAATTTTAAAATGTGTTAGATTGTTCACTTGATGTGATAAATGCTTACATAAGGTAACCTCTTTAGTTATATACATCAAATACTATAATGTAATATAATAGAAGGGTTAGTGGTATGAAATAAGCTAATAATCTTATTGTTTGTTCTTATTTTTTGCTCAGGCAACACTAGGCTTATCTGGTAGTAAAGTTTATATTTAGCAAGTCAAAAGAAAGCACAAAAATTCTCTAACTATTATTAGTAAAATTCAAAACCAAAACTGGAATTTACAAAACTTTAACTTAATCTCCACAAAGACCAACAATAAATTGAATCACTTACAAAATTCTTTAGTATATATTACTAAAGTGTCATACCAAGAATGCTAAAAAGTTCCAATTATTCTACCTGAACTCTTGTTTTTTTTTTTTTTCATTCTATGATTATTTCATATTCCTTGTGTGAGAATGGTAGAGTGACAAGACCTCTTGTCACCATTTATCTATTTACATGTTATAGTAGGATGGAGAGTTCACTGAGTTTGGTATTATAAGTGCTTTTTATCGCAAGTACTTTCGACAAATTTATAATTGTCATTGTGAAACAAATAAATATTTTAAAGAACGAACAGAAATATTCTGAGAACAACAACAGAACACATATTTTCAAATTAAAATATTCGGTAAAACTGTAAAAAAGCATCTATAATTCCAAACTCAGTTAACTCTCTGTCCTACTATACAATATTTGGCACGAGTATCAATCTATAATATATTTATGTGCTAGAATTTTAAACTCACTTCTGGACAAATATTTTTTGACAGTCAGTCCCAATCTTTCCAATAAATTATTTATAGAATTTTAAACTTGGCAACAAGTTGATTCAGGACTGTTCTTTAACTCCTTTGGAGATTACTGATTGGAAATGCCATTTTTAGATTGTCACAGGTGAACCTGGTCATCACCAGTCACATAAAGGCTGATTTATACTGGGTGATTTTATGAGCCACTTGCTGCTACTAAATTTGCTCTGTGTAATAAACTTTCTGTCTTGTAAACTAACAGCTTTCTCTGCTAGAGTGAGTAAAGTTGAAGGACTAGTTACTTTCTTGGTACTCGCTGGGTTTTTAGTATCTGACTAGTAAATTCATCCAGAGTAATTGAGCCTTAAGTCATAATTTTAGAATGGGGAAAGTGAGATTTTGACCTATAAACAAAAGAAAATGTTCTCAAACTAAATTATAATGACAAATTAAACAAAACCCATAAACATAAAATAACATTCAGACTCGACTTCTTACACAATAGTGTATATCATCATGGCCAACTAATTTTATTTCAGTCACTGTTTAGTCACTTATCTTACTAGGAGTTACTCACTGATTTTGAAGTCATTTTCTGTTTTGAGGCCTGAGGCTATGATTAAGCTAAGTTAATAATCAAATAGGAAGTAATTTGAAGTTGTGATTTAACTGTACAGTGATCAGATAGATTCTATTTTATATTTTCAAATTTATAATTTATTAAGATGTTTTCATGACATTGCACTTCTCTGAAATTGGCACCTGTCTTAAACCACAGTATTGTACTACATTCAAAAGGACCTGGGGAAAATACTGGCCTTTATTCCAATGATAAAATTGTTGTTTTCTTAGTGTTGGAGATGCATTTTAAAGTATGCTATAATATGCAACAATAATAATTATGATTGTTATTGGTATGGGTTATTTATGTGAAGATATGGGTTATTTATGGAAAATAACCCATATCTTCACATAAATTAGTTTATTGAAATGTTATTCTGTTATATCTGTTTAGAATTAAAACTAAGCTGAATTTACTTAATGCAACTTTAACATTAGGTGCATTAAAGTAATTTTAATAAAGTAAATAATGTGGGAACTTTAAAGGTTCATTAAGTAATTAAATAAAAAAGTAGAATCATTAAATAAGAAAGTATTAAATTTAAAATGTACTACTAGTTATAAAGTAATTAAAATAGAAAATTTTAAAATTAATTTTTTAATTAGGAACCTGTATTGAAAGTGGCCAGCATATTGGATTAAGATCACCTTTAAGATCTGTAGTTAGAGCATATTTGCCCAATCAGCAACGAACAACAGTAAGTTATATTAGTAATTATTGTATATATAAATTAGATAAATGCTTTTTAAATTGAAATCTTATATTTCAATGTAAATCTGTCTCTGTAATCCAAAAAAACACATTTTGGTAGACATATCTCACAGCAATTTCTGGTTAGCAAATTGTGATATATGTCTACCAAAGTGTGTTTTCTTGGATTACGGAGACGGATTTACATTGAAATATATCAAACAGCAAGCCGATTATATAAATTAATGAAATCTTATAATAAAAGCTTTTATTGAATTTTTATTCTCAGAATTGCTTGATAATATGTAGATATTATTGCATATTATATTTAAACAGCCTCTGTAATGCCTTTAAGCAAAATGTTCAATGTAACTAATGGAATCAAACAGTTTTGCAGGTACATCTTGTTGAGATATCTTGTGAGAGATCCTCTCACTTTGAACTGGAACATTGTCTGAAAGTTGGTGTTGGAGAGTGAATACAACTGTCTGAAAATTTCATGGAAATCCAATAATTAGGATTACTTTGGAAAGAATAAATATTAAAATTTTAGTTAGGAAAGTTGAAAGTAACATAAATCAGTATTGGAGAACTATGAAAAACTTCTACTTGGAGAAAATTTCAAGTTGGAGATATTAAATCTCTTTCCTATTCCATTCAGACATACCAAGTGCTTCATTTCCTTTGAGTTAAGGAAATATTCAAGTTATAGATGTTTGAGTTAGAGAAGTTTTACTGTAATTATAAATACATTAAGTAATTTAGAATATTCTGAAGAAAAGTATTGTCCTGGGACAAGGTCCCGCAACTCTCACTTATTGTGCAGATGTATTGCCAATTATGCTAACCAAGCTTCCAAACCAATCTTGTTTTTCAGACATGTTTAATTATGATATAACCATAACTACAGAAAAGGCCCATGGGCCACATGAAGCCATGAGTTGGCTAGGCCTAATTTAGACTTTTTGAAGTATACTTTCATTGGGAACAACTCTCTTAGTATTCTTTTCTAAGCAACTTCCTTAGCAAAAGAACTTGTAGCTTGAATAAATGAAGCATAAATATCAACATAAAATTGAGTTGTTTGGAAATAGTTTTTTTTTTTTCAGTTCCTTGTTCTTCATGTGTTTACCAGTTTTAATTTGTCTTGATCCATGTTTTCAGATGTTTTTTATTTACACTGAATATGATAACACAAATTCCAACCTCACAATTGTTCCATTTGTAGCTGTCTAGTTGTTTTATGGATATTGTTTTACTATTTGCGAGTGGTCTTTCAATGTCTCTCAATTGTATAAAATTTCAAAAAATGGTATTCCCTAACTTGCTGCTAAATGCCCTTAATGGTCATATTAAATGCAAAAACTTTACAACCAAGCCCCACTATGTTTAAGAATTGGTGTTGCATGTAAACTTCCTTTCTGAAATAATGATCAATAGAATGAAAAAATTCTCCAAATAACAATAGGAAAAAAATTATAATAGAAAAAACTTATAGCTTAAATGGGGTTTTTAATAAAAAATATTGGAAATAAAATTGACAATATGCAAACAGGAATGGTTTTGTTATAACAATAACTAAAAGCATTTATATTTTATATAAATCATAATTGATTAATTTTGAATGGCTTTTACTTTACTTTTCATTTACTTTAATTTCACAATCATTAAAATTTGTTGAATATATATATATATTTTAAAGATTGTGAAATTAAAGTAAATGAAAAGTAAAGTAAAAGCCATTCAAAATTAATATATATATATATTCCAATACTAAATAACAAATTTAAAAAATTGTGAAATTAAAGTAAATATTTTTGTAATTATATACCGTTAATTAAACTGTTATTTTTATTGATTAAGGTTCAAGTAAAAGCCGGACAGACTGTACGTGAAGCAATGTCTAAAGCACTTAAAAGAAGAAAGTTAACTCCTGAAATGTGTATAGTATTCAAGAATGAATCAAAGTAAGAATATTTTTATTTGAATATTATCTGACTATTTTAGTTCTAGAAAAAATTAATTTGAATTTTAACAAAATTGAAAAACTCAGGTATCATGTATGATGCAAATGATGATACATAACAACTATAGAAACTACATCTGAACAGTTGGAAAATTATTAAATCATTAACATTTTTAATATCCTATTACTTTTTTAAAATTATTAATTTATCAAAGTCTCTAAATAAAAGCAAGAACAGCCTTTACAAATGAAGATGACATTCCATATTTTTGCACTTTTAACAGGCTCTAAATTAATCTTATGAATGACCCAAGCTCCTCTTTATTAAAGCTTCTAATAAACAAATAAATGGATAATTTTATGATTGAAAATTATATAATCTTACAGTGTCATCATTCTGTATTTTCATTGAAAGATTTTTTTCTTTTATTTAGAAGAGAGAGAAACATATAAAGATATAAAAGAACTTTTATGACTAATTTCTTTGCAAGAATATTTATTACAGTGTATTTGTATTCTTATAACTGTGCAATTGAATGTTCATGCAAATAGTAAATATTCCCTTCTTAAGTTTTAATATAGACATTTAAATAGATCATTGTAGATACATTAGCTCCCTACTTATGAATGTTTAACTTACAAATTTTCAGATTAGATTAACAAACAATTTGACTGTATGTCTGAAATTAAATTTTGTACAGATTTCAAAATTAATCTTGACAGTTGTGGGGTAATGTTGAAATCAGTCTACAGCCATAATATGTAATAAATTTTTAATAAATAATTAATGTGGATTTATATTTATTGTGTATTGTCATTTTTGTTTTTGTGCAAATTCTGACATTCCATTGTGCTTGTGAGGTGGTATGAAAATTGATAACATTGGAGTAATGGCATTTTTTGCTACTGTTTGCAATTTTTATAAACATAAAAGTTTATAAAATTTGAAATTAAATTAAAATTAAAATTTGATTAAATTTGATGCACTAATCATAAAAGATTAGTGCTTCAAAAATGTATCCAAAATGTAAGAGTAAATTAGCAGTGAAGATAAATGTCAATCTATTACTGTGGAAACTAAACTTTACATTATAAAACTAAGTGTATTAGGTAAAAAATCACATTTGAAACACCCACTACTAAGCAGTAGAGAGCCAGTAAATAAGTGTAATGTATTATATTAACTACGTTGAAGAATCAAACACTAACAATACATAGTTATTCTGTATACAAATGTACTTTCTAAGTTAGTTTTTAATTTATGAACATTTTGACTTATGTCAAAACCTCAGGAACCTAATTTGTTTGTAAATAAGAGAACACCTGTAATACACTGGAGAAAGGAAACAAAGCAGTTCTTATACATAAAAGATTGAAATATTTTTTTACTTTATTAAGAATTTTTAATAATAATAAATTAATGAGTTACACAATTTGAATTTATAGATTTGGTTATTAAATTTTATTAAATACTAGCTGNTAAGAAAACAAGAAAGCAATAATTTTATACAAAATATAATTGTATTTTGTAAAAATATATCTAATGTATATCAGTGATGGTGGATCTACATCATTGATACACCATTTGCAACATTCAATGAAGAAAAATGCCAGTATCAATAAGTCTGATGTAAAAGCCAGTTAAATTATTAACATTTTTTCTGAAACTTGGACACTTCTGCAAATCTATTGACATATGTTTAATTAATAAGTTTTTTGAGATTTTCTGTTTAAATAATATATTTAAATAAAATCATTACTGCATTTTCATAAGCATGACAATTTCCATATATTGAGTATATAAACAGTACTTGAAAGAATCTTATTGCAAAGCTGCTTACATCACTCTTCATATACTGTATTTTGTATTCCAATATTTTATTGTTCAGTATTAATACATTATGCTGTATGAAATTTTGGGTTATATATTTGCAAAAGATACAGTATTATGTGACTTTATTTTATTTATTTTTTGTTTACTTTTATAATCTAATAATGATGAGATTTATTTATCATCATTGTTTGTTTTATTAAATGAAATTATTTTGAAGATATTAATTATTTTTTATATATTCATTGTGCTTTCAGGTGAGAAAAACATTTTTTACATTAGCTTTTTGTGAATGCTGTCGTAAATTTCTGTTTCATGGTTTTCGATGCCAAACTTGTGGTTACCGATTTCATCAAAGATGTGCTGCTGGTGTACCAACGTTGTGTCAGCCATTAAGAGTAGAAAGTGAAATTAATTATTATAAATAGTAAGAAATACTGTTTCATATTTTTTACAATCTTAATTATATTTTAGTACAAATCTGGTCTTAACTAATTAATAAAATTAATAGTTTATTTTAAAATAATTCATAATGGAGTATAAAATTCTTTTTGTATTCCCTAATCTGGTAATGTCTAAATTTTTTAAAGATATTTTTATGTATAAATTTCCTTATAATCTGTTGTTAAAAAATTATTTAAACTTTTTATTTTGGGTATAATGCAAAAATCATAAATAAAAATAATTTTGTTGTTTTATTAGAATTGAGAGATGTGAGTAAAAATAACATTGGCATATACAATCAAATATAGTTATAACACATCATAATGGAGAAACATTAAAGATTGTTATAACCAAAAATATCTCTCAGCATTGAGAAGAGCTCTCAATGCAGATATATACTGTTTGTATTTTTTCAATGCTTAAAAAATATCATTCAGGTGTTCTAGCATAGCAAATACTTTTGATGATGATGATGATAGTGAAATCTTGACAATAATACTACAGAAGCTGATGTTGTCTTCACAGTTTTCATGAGCACAGTTGTTTGTTGAAGCAACAATAACTGTTAAATTATTGTTAGTGTCAAGATTATCAGCAATTAAAAATTTCCAATATTGTTTGAAAATTAAAATAATTTCTAACCAGTTCCCATAATTTTTCGAAATTGGTGTTAGATACAACTGATTTAGAGATTGCAGCATTTTGTTTTTTTTTTTTTTGTTGTTGGTTGTCAACTTTATTTTTATTTTTTTTTCAAATTTACATACAATAGTATTCTACAAGAACTTTTGATAACTGCTTTCATAACAATAGCTCCTGTTAAAAACTAGAAAATAAGATCATTTAATGCATGCATAGCATTCAGCTCTGGTGAGCCCAGGAATGAATCTGGACAGATCAAAAAGCTGAAGAATTTTTTGTGGAGTGATTTTTCCCATTCTGCCATTTAGCTATTTCCCATTTATAACTGGTCTACTAACAATCAGCATTGTTGCCATGAATTATATTTTCTTTATTTCACACAGATACAGTTATACATTATATACATTTTTGATGATCTTTTGTCTCAGTGGGTGAAGAGTTACTAATATAGTTGAACCTATATCTTGAATCTCATGGGAATGAGAAAAAAAAATTAGATATAGGTGTTCCTATACAGTAAAATGTAATTTTTAATTGTTTTTTTTTTTTTACAAATTAATTGGACATAATTAGATTTGACTGGAATATGGTATTTTACTAATATAACAGCAGGTATAGTAGATACCTGTATTAGATATAAATAAAACATCTTTGACATACCTTAACAGAAATAGTTTGTCAATAGTTTCTGATGCCTGATTTTTCAACCAATAAGATACAAGGCAAACTTGTAGCCAGTTAAATAAAAGAAGCATTAATTGCAATTATGTACTGTATTGCAAGAGATGTTTCTCAGCTACAAGTAATGCTATCAAAATGTAGTTGCTGAGCTTTGAATTTATAATTGTCATTTCATTTCCTAATTTAAGATAGAGGTTTTGGGAGAAAATAATTTGAGATAAACATGGAAAATATATTGAATTTAGGTTGAAAATACAGGGGGAAAAATAAAATTTCAATATAAAGAAGTTTTTGAGATAAACATGTTTGAGTTAACCAGTTCAACTGTAATTATTCTATTATCAATGTTAATTTAATTATAGTTAGAATAGTTTGATTCTTAGTAAAAATATAAAACATTATATTACTTATAGTTGAGAAGAAATTAAAGTGATAGAAACTTTTGAATAAAAATTGCAAAACAGTTATTCATTGTTCTAAAGGGAAAGGAAAATAAATATTGATTAAAATCTTTTCCTGTTGTCTTGAGGATCTTAAAGGCAATGAATCTTAAACCCATCAATTTGAATGCTAAATGAGAGACTTAATTACAGATAAAAAGATTTTTTAATGTAAATCGTTAATTTGAATATTACATTTAATATTTAACATGATTTTTAAATTTTAAATAATTCTTAAATATTATTGCTTATGCAAAATGAATTCAGAAAACGTTTAATTTGAAATAAATTTTCTTTTACTTTAAGAAGTCTTATTACTTCTTTCATTTATGATTTTTATCAATAAATTTATACATTAATTACTAATTTATCTTTAGAATTCCAATTGATNTTTATTTGAAGATGTCTTATTGAATAAATAATTAAAAATATTAAATAAATTTACAGCTTGTTAAATTATCATAATTCTGTCAATATCAATACAGGTACTATCATATATCATATCTAATGTGATATTATCATACAAAAAAGATAATTATTGTACATCTGACATGATGCAAACCACTATTTTCTCTAGTTTCTACAGAAGTCTTGTAAATTATGAACTTATGGATAACCTTCTAAAACTACATAATGCTCTTTTATACTTTTGAGAAAGCACATTAATACAACAGCATGTGTAGGTGTTAGTTAGCACTTTTCCCAATATGCTGAATCTCAAATCAATAACCATTCATACCAGTAATGTGGAATGTGCAGACAGGTTTCCAATTCACAAGTGGCTAACTAATGGTCTGTCAAAAAATTATTTCTAATCATGATCAAATTGCATGGTAGCATTAGAACCTGTCAAAAAAATAATTTACACTGTCCCTGAAACTGATACATGCTCTTCTGATATCATGATTGTGCACACTGGAAAAGATCAAGTGAAAAGGCTGTTTAGTATGTGCATGACATAGACAAAACAGAGAATTCCATCAGTTGTACAAATTTTATTTTGTCCAATGAGAAATATAAATTTATTTTAAAAATCTATTTTAAAATAGTTTAATTATAATAAATAATAATAATAATAAAGACATCCTCAAACCATACTACAAATACATTCCACAGAGCCATAATCACAGATAAAACAATTTACCACAACAGACAGATCACACTCATTGACAAACACAATAAAATCACATACATTATAAGCATATCCATTCCAAACACTCACAATATACAAAACACATGCACTGAAAAAATTAGCAAGTACACAGAACTCGCCCAGGAAATAAGGCATCTGTGGAGGATTGAAAGGGTGCTTATTGTACAGTATCTGTTATTCTTTCCTCTACAGGTGTGATACCACACAGAGTACAAAAAAGCCTGGGAACATTACAATTGAATAGAAATACATGCATCACACTACAGAAGGCCACTATATTGAATACATGCCATATTGTTAGGAAATTCCTGAATACAGACACAGACAGTAATACACTTATTTAATTTTAGTTTTGTTTTGGTTGCTGTGCCTTGACTCTGGTCTGGCATAGTACACAGCCACCGGTGTTAACTGAGTATAACCCACTAAACAGTAATAATAATAACATAATAATAAATTTAATTATATTTTTTATATATTGATATATAAAATACTTGGATTAAGCAATTTTTGTCACAAAAGAAACAAAAATAGAAATGGCAGCACAGATAATTGATGAATTGTTACAAGCTTTTTTAACAAGTAGGCAAAACTCCTTAGTAACAGTATCATTTGAAACAAATTATAAAATTGTAATTTCAAAATATTAGAATAAATTTAAGAATAAAATTAAGATAGTCATAAACAATCTTAAATGATGTGATGATGTCATATCAGAAGCAGGGGTGGATGAGAAATTGCTAACCTTTTCATCCTCTCTCCAACTATGACAAATGATTCTTGCTACTGATGGTCCTCTTCTCAGGTTGTCATCTCTGATCTTGCAACACTGAGTGTCAACAAACAGTAACAGCAAGTTGGTGTGGCACCCAGGAAATTTGAAACATGGTAGCCAAAATTAGTGCTGATTGCCAGATGAATGAATGGGCATATTCAAAACCTCAGCATCACTCCAATGAGATGCTGCTGGAAGTGATGCAACTGCTGGTGTTTTCTACAGAATACAAATGCTGACTGCCAGGAATTTCGGGAGAGAAAAACAGTAAAAATGGCAAATTTTGTGTACTTCCACATTATGTTAAATTTATTTTTGAACTTATTTAATGAGAAACAGCGTAATGAAAATGAATGTTTCAAAAAGAGAAATAGGGATGAAGATTTTTTAAATTTTTGCAGGAGTTTTAAATAATCAAATCAATCCTAAGATTATGCTTTAACAACTAGAACAAATTATGTGATGTTGTATGTAAATATACTAGTATATTAAATATAACTTCTTCGTGCACACTGGGGTGTGTATAATAAACGTACTTACCCCTGCCTCCAACCGGTGTGTAGAAATACAAAAAAATAAATAACTTTGTAAAAACCAAATGTTTTCCGAACACCTTCCATGTCTTTCCTCAACTAAAACGGCTGGATTCCTTATTCTAAAACATTGTCACGCAATTTAAAAAAAAAAAAATTTAAATGATGATCCAGTTGTGCAATATCCACTGTGCATGCGTTGTATCTGTCATGTCCCCATCATTCAGAATCGCATTTACTCTTCTCTTACATGTCTGATGCACTATTTTTATTATGATCTTTACATGCCCTCGTGCATCCTCCTACACCAACCAAATCCTTAGTAATCGTTATGTAATAAAGCTTTCCAAGCTACAAAATTCTACCGCGCACACTACATCTACATGCATTAACTCCTTCTCAGGAGTTAATGCACGTAGATGTAGTGTGCGCCTTATATATTTTTATCGCTTCTAGCCATTTGAGGTGTTCCATGCGTTTTGTTTTGACTATTAACGATGCCCCTGTGAAGTCTATATTGATGCCTGGTTCTGACGCATAAATTGCGAGTGATGACATGGTGGCTCTGTTGTATTGTATATTTGCTTTGTGTTCCTTAATCCTGGTCCCCATCGAGCGTTTTGTTTATCCTATGTAGATCAAATCCCTACCGAATCTCTCACCAGCTTTGCTTTCAGGATCGCTTTTTCCAATTTACATGTGGGCACGTTAGCTTTATCAACTACAGGGTGAAATTGTTGGCCTTCTTTGTGTGTCTTCGCGAACGCTAATAATTTAGGTACTTCCGGGGTATCCATTGTGATGTTCTTTAGCTCTAGTTTCTTGGCTAATAATAATAACGCTAATAATTTAGGTACTTCCGGGGTATCCATTGTGATGTTCTTCAGCTCTAGTTTCTTGGCTAACTTTGAACTAGATAAGCTTTAACTCTAGAATGTAGTTTCTCCGCCCATCTAGGATGGAGAAACTACATTCTAGAGACATGTGAAAAAGGGCTACAGGAGTACATAGACGCAACACAATGCAATGAAGTGGACAATAGATGTATACTCATTTATCCACTCGAGAGGCACTTGATAATGAGTTAAACCACATTGAGAGGATTGCTAATATTCACGGCTACCACAATCTTATTCCAAAAATCTCGGACTGCCACAAAAGAATACTAATGAACCTCAACACACAGATGAGGGCACATGGATGCAACATGGATGCACATGGATGAATATAGACGTAGAAAGAATATCGATTACGTACAACCCGGCCTTGAGATCCATTTATGCATCTATCGCCAAAAAACGTAAGATTAACATTGCATACAGGAGAACCCCAACGATATATGGCATGTTACGTAATGGAAAAGACCCATGTGACCCGAGTAAATTGCCAGGTATATACCGAATCCTGGTGAGAAATTCGGTAGGGATTTGATCTACATAGGATAAACAAAACGCTCGATGGGGACCAGGATTAAGGAACACAAAGCAGATATACAATACAACAGAGCCACCATGTCACTCGCAATTTATGCGTCAGAACCAGGCATCAATATAGACTTCACAGGGGCATCGTTAATAGTCAAAACAAAACGCATGGAACACCTCAAATGGCTAGAAGCGATAAAAATATATAAGGCGCACACTACATCTACGTGCATTAACTCCTGAGAAGGAGTTAATGCATGTAGATGTAGTGTGCGCGGTAGAATTTTGTAGCTTGGAAAGCTTTATTACATAACGATTACTAAGGATTTGGTTGGACGAGGGCATGTAAAGATCATAATAAAAATAGTGCATCAGACATGTAAGAGAAGAGTAAATGCGATTCTGAATGATGGGGACATGACAGATACAATGCATGCACAGTGGATATCGCACAATTGGATCATCATTTAAATTTTTCCTGAGGAAGGATACGGAAGGTGTTCGGAAAACATTTGGTTTTTACAAAGTTGTTTATTTTTTGTATTTCTACACACCGGTTAGAGGCAGGGGTAAGTACGTTTTTTACTAGTATATTAAAATATTCTATTAATGTACTAATCAAATGTTAATTTATTTGGAGTTTATTCATCAACAAATAAATTAAATTCAAAATTATCAACACAAAATACAGTTTATATGAGCCTCATAGTGGCTGCCATCTTGTTTGTAGGTGTATTAAGAACCAAAAAAAAAGATGCTTGCAGTTTGCTGGAAGCAATCGGAAGTCATCTGAGATTTTGAATATGCTCATTGTCAACCTGTACCATATTATGAAAAAATTTCTTCAGAATTGTTTACAAACTTCACAAATTAAATATTAGATGTTTTTATTAAAAAAGAAAAATTTTTTTAACATAAGTACAAAACAATAGTCAATTCATGATTCTGATATTTAATTGGAATGGCATGGTTTAAAGCTTTCTATTAAGTTTATAGAATAGCTTTTGAGGTTGCAATACAGAGTTTATTCTTATGTCTTTGTTTCTGTTTCCTTGTTATGTTTCAAGAACTTTCATAAATGCCATTAACAGTAGCAATTTCACAGTAAACTAAGCTTGAAATTATAAGTTAATCAAATGATAATGCCATAACTTAGGTAATTAGATATATAGTTATAAAGTAATTTGGACTAAAGGTAAGCATATAAGGTTCCCTCTTGTATTAAATTTAGTAAATAAAATTAAAAGAATTAATCTAGAATACTTGGGAAGACAAGATTGATCTGGTATGGGAGCTTGAGCTTGCAACTTCTGCTTACTGTGAGTAAAGTTAAAAATAAAACTGTTCACAATTGCCGTCCATTCCAGTATGCCATAACACAATGAAAAGTTCAAAGAGTTCATATCTCCTGAACTTGTTCATCAAGAAGACATTTTACAACAGGCAAGCAGTTGGCTAGCAGTAACACTTTTCCCAGCGATTGTAGAATTCAGACAGCAAGACGGATCCAAATTTGAAACTCCTGCTTCCACATCAACTTTGTATAGTTGTTGTCTAGCCGACAGCTGACCAATCAGCAGCTTTGCTGGTCTCAGCGCTATCCCAGGTCTGCCTTGGTGGCCTGGTGTTCAGCTTCAACCATCTCTTCTCTGAGGGGCATGCATTACCAGTTCAAATTCAACCAATTGTGTTCTTCCACGATCTCTCATCAACACTGTGCATTTACATTGTAATTATGTTATCTGAATCTGTCTGATCTTTGCTTCCAGACTAATTCATTTAGAAGATATAATCATACATTATATTTTGGTTTAGTATTTTGTCTTCATTCAAGAAATAAAATTTATAGTAAATATTCTTGAATTATCAATTTATATAAAAAATTAGTTTCTTAAAAAAGGTTCCCTAACAGTGTAAATAATAGTGATAACTTTTCTCAAATACTTAAAAATGAAATAAAAAATTATCTTTAAAATGAATTATTTTGTCATTTAAATCAGTGTAACAACAATAATTGAAATATGCTAATTTCTCTGTCTTATAAGAGACAAGGGTCATTAAGGAGTTAAATTAATAACTGAATTCAACAAACCCAATATTAATAAAATCAAAACAAATAAGATAATATATTTTGATTAGAATAAGCCATTTGAACCATTGTAACAGTTAAAACAACATTTTAATGCATAAAATATGATGATAAAAGTTTACAAATTAAATTCTTTCTTAATTTAATAAGCATATTCCTTTTTGTTTTAAGTATCTGATTGCTTCTTGTTCTTTCTTTTGTTCTTTGGGAGTAAGCACAAAATTTATATGTAGAACTTATCACATTTTTTGATGAATAATATAGACTTTATTTGTACAAGGAAAAGGCATTTCAGGCTATTTTTCCCCTTTTTAAGTCCTTATTGTACAAATTGATAAAACTACAGAATAAATTACAATAAAAATTAACAGTTACTTATATCTTATTTGTAAAACTCGCAAAAAATAAGTTTATCAGAAATGATATTTAAAAGTGACTGTTTGAGTAACAAAGAAAAAACTTCGCAAATTTGTTGTTGAATCACACAACTTAGAAATTTTAGTCAAAATTGACTGGTAAATTTTGAAATTTATAATTGATTTTATTTAAAACGAATTCCGTTTTATATTTTTAAATATTCTAAATTATGTAAATAAAAGTTTTTATAACAAATTTAATAATGTTTTTTTTTTCTTTTCAGTTTATTAGCTTTAAATAATACATCATCTACTACAGGAGACTTACAACAAGCAACAGGTTTTCCTAATCATCTAAATCAATGTTTTTACCCTTCAACTTCTAATACTATTCCTCAACAAGTATCTCGACCTCATCCTCCACCTTTAGGTCAAAGAGAGAGATCAACCTCAGCTCCTAATGTTTGTTATAATCTAGTTGTGAATCCCTCAGAAGTAAGTACAAAGAATAAAGTATATCCACTTGTTGTTTTAGAAAGAGTAATAAATTAATGAAAGTGTTTCAGCTATATTTTATTCTTTTATGATAAGTACTTGAACACATTTTTATTAACATTTAAACTCTTCATGTATGTTATTTTGTGATTGACATTTTTCTTATTTTTAAAGTGAGATATTTATTTTGTAGAAATTAGATCTATCAATATGATATAGACCTTCTTAAGTTCTATGAAATGTAATGAAACTAATTATTTACAACATTTATTGTTGGTAAAATAAAATTGTTATATTATGTTATCAGTATTAAAAATTAAAATATAAATTTTAAATGTATAAATAAAGATGATATATTCACTTCTCTTCTCAAGTCTAAACCTGAATTTATGTATAAAAAATTAACAAAATTCAAAATGTCTTTAATTCACTTCTAATTATTTATATAAACAATAATAATTTGAATTCCACTAACTCTTAGAGTTTGATTAGAACTAAAAAATTTAAATGTTGGAGTAAGTTTGTTAAAATAACTATAAAATATTTACGAAAATAAAATAAAAGCAAAATCATATCAAAAATAATCTTGACATTTCAAGTGCGTTAGTTTTAAACTTACTGATGACTTTTTATTATTTAACTGCATTCATTATTTTCAGGAAGAATTTGCTTTAATTTTGTATAATACAAATATGAAAGATAGAAACACAGCATTGCATTCTTCTTCAAGAATGCTTAAGAGATTAGAGAAAACTGTTAAAGGATGCAAATTTGAAAGCGTTTGAACTTGTTGATTTTTTGTTCTATTTTATGTAAGACTCTATTAAAGTTAATATATTTTTCTTTATTTTAAATTTGTGAAATTTTTTCTCTTGTGTATTTTGTTTGCTTAGTATTTAATTGAGCTCAGAGCATTTGGAAAGTAAATACTGTCTGCAAATATTTCCGCTGCAGTATAAATTTACTCAAGCATACTGACTCTCCTTACGTATTGGCAAGCCACATACACCATTACAAGAACATGAGATCATGCTTATATATTTTTCTCTGTATTTTACAAGTTCAAGATAATTGAGCAGCCACTGACTATGAAATATGATCTATTTTATCAATCTGTGAGAACCGAGGGGATTAGTTGTCACCACTTACTGGCGGCTCTGTCAGAGGATGGCTTTATAGGAGGGCAAAATAAAATGAGTGGGGAGGTTAATTGGTAAGTTGACAGGTTTCCAAATGTATACACAGGTTGAACAAGAATAACACATTTAATAAACAACTATAAAATTGTACATATCAAAGGCGAAAGTGAAGAGTTACAAAATTTCTATTCTACGTCGCGATAATGATTTGTCTTTCATACAGAACATCTAATCTCTATTCTCTAAGTTAAATTAAGAGACGAGAGACCTCTAGGAGAGATACTTCTCAGAGAGAGAGTATACAGATAGATATCCAAAACAAAATAAAGTTCCTGATCCATAATATGGGTCATTGGTAAAAACGTTCCTGGATCATCACAGCAGTTATGGCAAGGTAGCGACGGATAGGGTGGCGGTATGGGTCAGTAGATATGGCAGTTGATGTCCGCGCTGTGGACTGCGTCCAAGCCCTCTTTATACTATTTTTGAGGGGGGTGAGAACTATGACATCATTAATGATTTATATGCACACCTGTTTGTGTGTTGATGTCCAGATCTAGCTAGTACGGACCACTGGCACAGAGAAATTTGTTTAATTTATTGATATTGGTGTCTAGAATATATGATTTTATAATATAAATTTCTATAGGTTTGATGGCTCTCATCCATAAATTAACATTCAGCTGACAATAATTTCTGTAAACTGATCAACAATCTAGATATTGTTTATATTAAACGTTGTGTTTGACTACGAATGAGGCAATTTATTGCTGTAACCACGTGTCACATGCAACCAAAGAGGGGATAGGAAACATCTCTTATTCCCATCTTGTTGATATTAACATCTATAGAATTACCTTTAAACAAATGGAGGAGATTTCTTTTATTGATGTACTAACGATTTTTTTCGAGGAGATTGTCTCGGTCATCGACCGCAGAAGTCCCCCTTTTTCCCTTTTCACCTAATCACGAGGTTTATTAGAGGGGTGATACTGTTCTAAAACAAAAGGGTTTTGGACCTTCACAAATCTTTTGAATGCAAGAATTGCAAAACATATGGACATTTATTGTCAGATTTGTGAGATCTAGTTGAAATGCCATGAGTGATAAAATGGTAAGAAAATATATCAGACAGTTCAACAAAAGTGTGAGATGTACATAAGGAAGCATGCAGAGACTGTCTGTCTGTGATTGATGCAAAAGTTTACAAGAACAGATGGTTTACAACTTCATTACTTTTTTGCATTTTTCTATAAATTTCATGGTTATTCACTAGAAAACTGTAACATTATTTCAGCTATCATAAGTCATGTTGGGTGCCAGAAATGCTTATCACTTTAGCAGATTATTAATGTGTTAACCTTTCTCATATGTTAGTGTGAGTAAAGTGATGAATTTTTGAGCACTATCATCACAGGTGATGACTATCGCACATCTTTGGAATTAAGACAGAAATCAGTTAAGTGGAGATAAATCTCATTGTTGAAAAGGCAGACAGGATAATGTGCACACAGTTTTTTAGTACAGCCTGCTTTTTGAATTCTTGTCTAATGACAAAAATAAACAGCAGCCTGTGCAAGACTGAAGAAATTATGCTGCTGTACAATCCAAAACAAAAGGCATAGTACACTTGTGGAGTTGTTTGAAGAATGGTTAGTCACTCAGTCTTATACTATTGCTCAGATTCATTGAGCAACAATATATGGCTGAGTATTGTACTAATATGTATAGGTAGGGAATTTTTTACTTGAATATAAGCAGACTATATACTTTATACTTTTTATATTGAAGATATTTTTCCTCATTCTATTTGCAAATTTTAAATAATTACAGACAGCCTTACAGCTTGGATGAGCATCAATTCTTTTAAAATTAATCAAATGCAATTTATAAGAATATAATTGAATATTAAATCAAAATAACAAAATCTAACTAAAATCCAAAATATGAAGTCAGAATAATGAAATACAATAAGTATTAATTATTATTAACACAAAATCAAAAATAACTAAATATCACATAATTGCATGCCAGTAAAATTTTTCATGATAACANCAATTTACAATATTTTAAATATATATTTTAAAAAATAAAATATAGGATTTTTCACTCAATTCATAATATAATAGACCTCGCTTTTCTGACTTAAATGGTTCCTGGAAAATCGTCACTATCGCAGAGCCGTCGTAAATCAAACTGTGACTTTTCGTAAGCTCATTACCATAAATTAAAGTTCTGTTTTCGTAAATAATTTGAACTACATAATATCATATAGAATTTCGGGACGAAAACTCAAATAACGAAGTCCAACAAAAGCCATAGATAAACCTCAACGCACGAAAGCCCATGTATATAAAAACCAAATTGAAGAAAACCACATACAGTATGTGATTTTATACAACATTAATATATCGCATTTAAGAGAAGTCCAACAATTTTTCCTGGCTGAGGAATGATAAAAAGACATGAGAACGATCTTCACTACTTGGCGTTTACACGATTTCTTATTTTCGATAACAGGATAAATCGGCACTGTACATTGTAGTTACCCGCAGACCATTGAATATTAGGCTAAAATATTGTTCTTATAATAAATTCGTTAGTTTTAACAGAATTACAGGTATTAGCGTGTGCGTTTATTGTAATTTCATCAAATTTTGTAGTATCTTTTTATACATACTGTATATGGTTTTAAAATTTAAAACAGTTCGTGTTCTTTAAATGAAATTAAATGTTACAACAGATAAAAAATTACCAAAAAGTTCGTTAATCGAAATTATTTTAAGTAATGTAACTCAATTAACTAACTTTTGGATCACTCTTACTTTTAATTTTCTGTACATTAAAACTAATATATACATATAAAATCACTAAACGACTCCTTATCGAATTTTATACTCCTTATTTATTACTTTAAAATTATTTATTAAAAACGAGAAAGAAAACATAATAAAACTTAAATTTGAATAACTCCTTATAAACAAAAATTATTCAAATTAAATTCCCAAAACTTAAAAATTTATAACTGTTTCTTCTTGTCCTTTTTTGATATTTGATATATTTCCTTAAAAAATGAAATGTTTAAAAAGTAAAACATAATGATGACTTATATAAAAGATCATTTTATTTTACTTTATTTTTTTATTTTTCTTTCCATCTTGGCAAAGAACGCAAACGTGTAAAAAAATCTATTTTTCAAGCCTAAAATTTTGAAAAATCTTGAAATTAAAATTCATTAATTTTGTGAACTCTACTTTCATCATTTTTTTAAATCTATTGATTATAAATCGGCGGTGGCTGTACAGTAGCTCTCGAACATTAACGATGTGAGTCGTTCCACATATCTGATCATTCAGAGATTTATATTGAAAAGCTTAGATAACATCATTATACCGTTTAAAAAAAGCTGATAAAAATATGTTAAAGAAGATAAATCAATGCTCATGCATTAAATAACTGACACCACCAAAGATGTGTTATTGTCGTGATACTATCAACATAAGAATGCTACGTTATATTACTACATCGTCGGCTCTGAAAGATATATAGCCTTTAAATGAGGTTCTCGAAACGTGTCTAATTGCTCACCTTGTTACAAATTTTGTTTAAAAAATATTTATGTATTTTGTTACTTGTCTGTATCTTTCGCATCGTCGGCTCTGAAAGATATATAGCCTTTAAATGAGGTTCTCGAAACGTGTCTAATTGCTCACCTTGTTACAAATTTACTTTAAAAAATATTTATGTATATATTAGGAATGCACGGATGTTTAGCTCTCCCTTTTGGTGGTCGTTCAACAAGAAGTTCCTCCACAACTGTACATAGTCCTAGTTCAAGCCCTACAAGAACACAGAGTGCACAAGGTTCTCCTACAAATACACACAAACCCTGGAGACCACGTGCTCGATCAGCTGATGAAAGTACAAGAAAAATTGTAAGAATTAATATAATTGTTTGAATAGCAAAAAATTTATTAAGCTTAAAATTAGTCTTTATTTTGTAAATATTCTGTAGTTTTACTTGACAAGTTTATTTGAATCTTGAATGTGTATTATGTAAGTTTTTAACTTGATTACATTTAAAATGTTTTTAGTATTAAAGTGTAATCTTCCTGTATAACTATATAATGAAAGTTGATGCAAATTCATAAGAATAAAATGTTCTGCAAACTCAAATGCAATAAGCAGATTAATTTTATTGTTAATAATGTTTGCTTAAAACAGTTTAATAATAGTACTGTTCCAATCATCCATATATCAAACTGAAACCAATAAGTGTTTGCAATAGTGATTATTCAAGTTTTTAGAACATCAGTATTCTAGATAAATACTGAATTTTATTGACATATGTTGAATATTGATATTTTTTTTTTATCAACGATGAATGTTGGTAATTCAATAATTGTGTTTATCAACTTTACTTTCTTCAACATAATAATTTGCCCAGCTGTCAGAAAATAACATTAAAATTGTGGAGGAGATTGTTTCAGTTCTCACAATTAGTACTATGCTAATAACCAATATATCAGACTAAAACCATTAAATTTTCAATATTAATATTGATATTTTAGATTTTAGAATGCTTATATTGATATTGTAAACATTTATTGGTTTCAGTTTGATATATTTGTTTCAATCTCCTCAGCAACAACCCCTTTTAGAATTTTAACACTAGTGCAATTTTCTGACTTCTAGTGAAATTTTTATGTTTAAAGAAATAAAGATGATTATTATAATTAACAAATATCAAATTATTAATATTCAACATTAAAATAAGTCTATTTTTTGGTATTTATCAATTATCAATATATTGAATGAATCTTTATCAACCCCATTATTGATATCAAAATTTTGGTTTAGTACAGCCTTATTAATTAATAGCTTACAAACAGTTTTTTTTTTACAATTTATAGTGCATATGATGTACAAATGATTTTAGTAATTTTCTTGTTATATAGCATTTCTAGTAAAAAATATTTTTAAGAAATATTTGCTACATTTATTAAATACAGGTAGCCCTCGGTTTACGCCGCAGTTCTGTTCCTACAAAAGCTGGCGCAAATCGAATCGGCGTAAAACGAACCCATATTTGCATTGAGGTATAGGGTTAGGTTCCACATAAGTGAAAAATACGCAAATAATTTTGTTTATTAATACAATATAATACAAAGTACAAATAAATTTTTAAAATGTATTTTATCACAAAATANGATACATCTGAGAAGTTATTACATAATTTTAAAAATATTATAAAATATATATAAACAAACAGCGCAGACGACATATACATCTTCATCTCGAGCGGACAAAGTAAGAAGTGATTAGCGACTTAGTGATGTACTGTACCCTTAATTGGCGGTAGTGTAATTATTTATTTTAATATTGTACTATACAGTACATCCCATTAGAGAGCGTTCAGAAATTTTTCAACAGGGATGTTCACATCTTTTCAGTTAGGCCTCCTGCTGTATTTCTGAGAGGAAACAAAAATAATGTGACTGGTATTTACTGATCATTGGATAGAACAACAAAATTGATAGGGTAAGAATGGAAATCAATATTTAATTACAGTAAAATTATATAATAATGAATTTTACATTTCCAAGTGTGTTATAAGTTACAAACAGCTCCTAAGACACGAAAAAGTGAACAGAATCGAATACCATTAACAACTGATGTTTTGAGCATTGATTTATTGCTGATTAGTTCTCTGTCATTTACAGTACGGAAAATAAATGTACTTATAAGCATTAAGAATGTTCTCGTCAGAAAAGGAAATTTCGAATAAGCTCAATAATGGAATGCCAAAGATCAAATTAAATTCCCAAAACTTAAAAATTTATAACTGTTTCTTCTTGTCCTTTTTTGATATTTGATATATTTCCTTAAAAAATGAAATGTTTAAAAAGTAAAACANTTTGTTTTAACGAATGTATAATGTCACGGCTCGGTAAATATGTCAACATTGAAACGAAAATCAGTCTGGCATAGGGAAAATCGGGGAATTACACAGCAAAATCGCGAGTTGTGCAGTGGCGTAAATTGAACTGGCGTAAACCGAGGGCTACCTGTACTTTATTCAGTTATCTGTGAAAGTTGTGTATATTATCAAATCTGGATTATATTGAATTAATTCTTATGGATTTAACTATTATTTAAATTTCAGAAACCAACAAGGGAGAGTATTGAAGATTGGGAAATTCCTGAAGATGAAATTCAAACGGGTCATAGAATTGGCGCAGGTTCATTTGGAACTGTATATAAAGGACATTGGCATGGTAACAATTATTAGATATTAGATAGGCTAGTTTCATTTTAATAAATTATAAGCACCAGGTATTGATCTGGTGCTACTAGTTTCATATGAATAAAACCATCTAATAACAGCTCTTTATCTGAGTCATACAGGATTGTAATAAAAGAGCTGTTGTTAGATATTTTGTTCTTTAGATAATGATTTGTAATATAAAATGCATATAACTCTCTCTAGTAATATAAGAAATTTTGTTATATCATTACAATACTGTGTATGCGGTTCCTACAAACCTGGAAAGTCAGGAATTTTTGTTAGCATTTGGAAAAAGTCATAAAAAGACAGTGAAATTTGCCTTCTTGGTTGCCTTGTTGATTTCATTTGCTGACACTACAGCTGACCATAGAGATAGATATATATACAGTTGACTCTCCATAAAATGAACACTGATAAAGTAAATTCTGGTGTTTAAGTGAATTTTGTTATTGCTCTGGCCAAAAACCATTGTCACAACATTAATTTTCACTTGATAAAGCAAACAAAAATTTTATCAGAATTTGTTAAAACTAAACTGTAAATAAATTTAAAAAATTAAGATTTTAAAGATATATCAAATGAGCTAATTTTAATAGCAGGCATGCAGATTATATCCAGTCATGTGAGCAAAATTCAGGGGAAATTAAAGTAGTCTCAGGGAAATTTGCAGTAGAAAAATAAAAAATATGACAATAGCTGCAAAAATCTGTATCTCTGTTGTTTCTGTAGACATTCATTGGGAAAACTTGCCAAAATGCAGAGTTCTTGTAAAATTGAAATTGTAATGTTTACTTCAGTGGCATAGTACCATTGAAGATATGGAAGATATATATGCACCCTGATTATTGATCTGATAATCTTATTAATTAATTAATTAATATACTTGTTCATAGTCCATGGATTTTTTGTAAAAAAAAAGCTTTCAGGAGGATTTTAATTTACTAACTCTACTGAATAAACTTTCCACTTGACTGTATATTTTAAAAGTACACTCATTACCTAAAAATAGGCTAGCCTAAGGCCTTGCATCACATATACATGAGCAAAACTAGTTAACAGTTTATCTTGAAATTCCTTGGTGATTAATAGTGAATTATCTGTTCGTATTTGACTTAGTGTTAGTAAACTATTTGTAAATAAATAATTCTGAAGTCATTCATTCAATTTTATCTAGTATTCTTTTGTTTAAAAAAATTTCAATAAATATCTCTAAATTTAATAATTTTTTTCTAGGGACTACTACTTCAGAACCTTATGTACCAGGGGGCAGCCACCCCCAGACTTGTAGAAGCTTTTCACAATCTATATATATATAGAAATTTTCCTGATTTTATTTTGTTAGTTCTCTATATCTTTGCATTCATGAAAAATTACATGATGCCTTTGGTTTACTTTTTTTTAAAAGTTAGATTAAATTAATTCATGAATCCATGATCTTTTTTAGTAATATGAAAATATAATAATTTACTTTTACAAATATATATATATANGAAATCAAAGGACACGATTTAAACTTTATATACATATTAACATATATATATATATATATGTTAGGATTATTAAATATGTTTAAATACAGTTTTAGTTTTCAGTTGACAATTTATATATATTCTATATTCAAAAATATGATGTAATCTGATGAACTTTTTACATTCAATATAGCACAAGAAATGAATATTAAGTTATCAGTTTAATTTCTTTAAAAATAAAAAACTCAGAATAATGTTAAAAGTAAGTAAATAAAATAAGTTGATTTCTTCAGCTAAAATCTAAATAATGTTATCTATGACTTTCGCTGTATGAAATATTTAAAAGATAGTAGAAGATTATAATGTATTTCCAACACTATAAATTAGTGTACTTTTCATTTCTAGTTTTAAACGATTTATATATAAAAAGACTATATTAAAAATGCAAAATACTGATATACAAAAATGTTAATTATAAAATAAGATATAGTTGTTGTTTGAATAAATAAAATATATTCATGTGCAAGACATGAATTTATGCATCATTTGTTAATACAAGGGGAGTTAAATATTTTGGCTCATTAGTGTCTTCATGTAGTTATCTTAATTCACTATTTAAGTATTTTAAATTTAATTAATCTTCAGACAATCTGCACAAAACAGAACATTTCAAAGAAAAAAAAAAAACAATCTGACATTTTGTTGATAATGTTTCATTCATAAAGCTGACCTCTGGCAATTAGTGACAGAATGATCTGTAAACAAACTGACACACTAATTTGGTGTGATGGGGAAAATATAGTTTCACATTTCTTTCTTAATTTCTGTAAAAATAAACTGGCTTATTAACTTTTTTTATATTTTCTGAACTGGGGAGATCAATGATAATTGATCAAAATCATTATTTTTTTGATGTTCTGGGAATTGGAAGATATTTTCTATTATGATGTGACGGGTCAGTACCTCTTCAATGTCAAGTCTGTAAAGTAGACCGTAAGGTGACTTTTGGACAAACCCTTTCCTTTCTCCCTTTTAGTTAGAACATGTTCTAACTAAAAAGGGAGAAAGGAAAAATTGTTTGATTAGGAACAAATCGAACAGTCAACCGTTGTGTACGTCACTACTAACACTGTATTTGGCAACAATAGCATGATGTGAATCAATTATCTATTGTCGTGAGTCTGACAAATTTATAGTACAAATATTTTTTGTATTTTGGTTTAATAAAGCATTAAAATAGGTACCTAACTATTATTTTTTACCTACTTATTTATTTACCTATGTATTACATATTTTATGTTGTTTTCGAAACCGTGTTTTGCGAATATATTGGACTTTGAACTCACATGAGTTATAAATAAACACTTGGCTTTATTTCCATCATTTTAGTTGATACGTGACAATAGCACGTTTCGGGCATAAAGCCCCTCATTAATCAACTAAAAAATATATATACAATTTTTAAAACATTACATAAAATATTTTATAAAACAGAATTAGAATAACGTATGTTTTTTACCATATTCATTTTTAATCTGTTATACATACAAGGTCTTAATTGGTGTACACAACTTATTTTACAATAAGTGGAGTAATTTCATTAAAAATTTTTTATAAATGATTTTCTTATATATTTTTGACAGTATCCAGGGTTCATAGACATAACTACGTATTATAAATCTTAAAATAGAAATAGATGTTTTTTACATTATTCCTTTTTAACCGTACCTGCGTTACATACTGCATTGCAGTGTTGTATCAGATCATTTATAAAAAATTTTTAATGAAATTACTCCACTTATTGTAAAATAAGTTGTGTACGCCAATTAAGACCTTGTATGTATAACAGATTAAAAATGAATATGGTAAGAAACATACGTTATTCTAATTCTGTTTTATAAAATATTTTATGTAATGTTTTAAAAATTGTATATATATTTTTTAGTTGACTGATGAGGGGCTTTATGCCCGAAACGTGTTGTTGTCACGTATCAACTAAAATGATGGAAATAAAGCCAAGTGTTTATTTATAACTCATGTGAGTTCGAAGTCCACTACATATTTTATTTTAGAATTTATTATTAGTTTGTTTAATTGGGCCAAAATGGATTAGTCCCAGTGTGTCCCTATTAAGCCGAATCGACTATACATCTAATCAGTTTAGTTATTTGTGTGTGCGGTGAATCAGATAAAATTTATATCTATATAGCTAATTTGTTTATAATGGAATAAAATGTATTTATATATACAATCAAACCTTGATATAACACCCTTGTAAAGCATTAATGAATACTTGTGAACATACCTACTTAATATCTATGAGTCACTAAATGTATGAATTTTTATTGAAAATGACATTATCACCAAATTGTGATTTCCAACTTTCCTGCTCAAACTTATAAGGAGAAATAAGAGTTGTGTGTAGTAAAGTACTTCAATTTAGTACCACACTTAATTTAATGCCATTTTCGTGAACAAATAAGTCATGCTAAATTGAGGTTTGATTGTATTATTTTTCATTATAATTGTAAACTAAAAATATTTAAATTTTTAGGACCTGTAGCATTAAAAAAATTGAACGTAACGAATCCCACTCCAGCTCAATTAGAGGCTTTTAAAAATGAAGTTGCAGTGCTTAGGTAAATACAATTTTGTATTATGTAAAAGTATGAGTAAATATTGATCTTATTTAATAAATTAAGTCAGTGTTTTATGAACAATATAGTTTAGACCAGTGTTCTCAAAAACGTTTTTGATTGTTGACTTCTTCAAGGATTCCTCAATATTTTATCCCCTCAATCATGTAGTAGGAAAAAAGTGATGTTAATTCTCTTGCTAGTCATTACCTTGTTGAGTTGAGAGAGTGCAATAGTTACAATGAACCATAGAGTGATGCCAGTGGGAGCATACACTTCTAGTAGAGTCACCCATACCAGTAAGATCTATGGGGAGAAATAAAGCAAAGAGTAGCCTACAAGCAGTGCCTGACCAAAGTGGGCAGCTGCTAACCAGCATCTATTTTCTTTGTTAGGATTGGCTGATTTTTAAATATCTGACTTTAGGTATATTCAAACATACTCACTTCTCTCTGAAGTAAACAAGAATGTAGTTACGTCACAGCATGATACTGATTTGGACATTGTACTTGTTAACAAGGTTTGTTTTTGTAGGTTAGAGAGAGATTAACATTTGAAAAATGTGTGACGATCTTCCTTGGTCACCAGTTATAAACACTACTCAAGTATGGCTATTGTATCTCAAACACATTCATTGCCCCTTCCACACTTACATACACAATGGACGACACATGCCAGCCCCAGCCTAGCCAATGTACTTCAGCAGAAATCAAGTCACTGACCATCACAACTGGAAAATTTACCAACAGATGAAGCAGACTTGAGAAATGAATCAGTTCATCATCCATAATTACTATATTATCACAAAACTCAAAACATACATATTACATGGTAAATTCATACAAAAAATAACCCCATTTTACTGTTACAGAGCAAAGAGTTGTAGATCAAAAAGGAGCAGTTATAGACAACAACCTTATTCTACAAGTAACACGTGAACATATCAAGTTGTACATACAACACATCAACACACAAAAACTAGATCACACAGTAGACCAGACACTCAATGATAGTATTCAACAGCATAGAAACATACACTAATATAAGTTACAATCAGTGACATTATAGACACAAATTAATTAAGACACTCAAATTTATTTTAAGAAGCACTTGCTAAATAGACCCCACAGAGAGACTACAGATACCCAAAATACACACATTGAACCAGAACATGTCAACACTTTCAGAGATACATACATTAGTTTATTCTGGTGTAGTCTTTGTAGTTACATACCATGGTCATGAAGTACAATCATAAACAGACAAGTCCAAAAGAGAAGACTAGAAACACAAATAAATAAGATTAATCAATAATAAGGCAGTCTGACAAAATACATAAAAAAAACTTAATACCTGGTTTAATGAAAGAGGTTAGGAAAATATTCAGGAAAATTAAAACACATAACATGAATAACACAATATACACATATAGGAATGTATGGACACGCTCAAACAAAAACTTGCATCTAAGTCACAAAAACTGAAATGTTACAAAGCCATGTGCTATAAACAACAAAATAAATTATTCACAAAAAAATGACAGACAATTACATATGACACCACACAATTCAGCATGATGACACTAATAGCTCACAGACTATTGGTCTGCTTTTGGACCACTACATTCACACAAAAACAAAACATGCTGGATCAAAAAAGAAAACATGCACAATACACCACTGATGCCCTGTATTGAAATAAACATATGTGACATGTAGCATGCAGTACAAAAAACACACAAGTAAGAGCCTAGTGCAGACAACAATCACAATTTCTGGAGGTTTTTTAGGTACTTTGTGTAATATAATGTTGAGTTTGCTTCATCTGTAACAACATGCTCTTATATTTTCAGAAATACAGTATAGCTAAATGTTCTTTTTCCATAAATGAGATTAATTTCTGTTAATTTCATTTTTATTAACTATGGAATTCTTCTCTTAGATTAGACGATTTTTAATATAAAAAATTCTAAAGGAACTTGCAATCCATCTGATAAGTGTAAAAAAAATATTACCATATTTTAGTACCATTTTTCTAATGATGTGCTTTTAAATCAGTATAAATATCTGGAATTTAATCTTAATAATTTAGATAATTTTAAAAATGTATTGTTTTTGGATTTAAATTCAAGAATAGTTTGCTAAAAATCTCTGTACATTATACGCCTGATGATGAATTATACTAGACAATTTAAATTGTGTTTTTATTGACTGTTAGTTTTAATTAGAAAATAATTAATTTTAATATAATTTTAAAATAAATTACTAAAATTATTTAATCAAATATTAAATTAGTAACTTTAATTTCAGGAAGACTAGACATGTTAATATACTGTTATTCATGGGTTATGTTTCCAAGCCTCAGTTGACTATAGTAACGCAATGGTGTGAAGGATCAACTTTATATAAACATATTCATGTTTTAGAAAGCCGATTTGAAATGTTTGATTTGATTGATATTGCTCGACAAACAGCTCAAGGAATGGAGTAAGTAAAAATGTGTAGTAGATATACGTTTACAGTGAAAATTACAAATTGAAAATATATGTTGAGTTAGTATATATAACATTTATAATTTTTTATAATTTACATTAAAACAATATGTTACTTTACTATATTATTTTGTAAGTAATGATGATTATGAATACTGTTATATATCAATACATAACATAATAATAATTGTTGTAAGTAATAGTAGTAAGAAAAATTGGAAATTTCAATATCATTCTATTTGAATTTTCTGTTGAAATTTTTTATTGTGATTTATAAAAAGTATTAATATTATTTATTTAGTTAATAATTATAATTTTTTGCAGCTATCTTCATGCAAAGAACATAATTCATCGTGATTTAAAATCAAACAGTATCCTTTTTAATACTTTTATAACTTTTTTTATTAAGTAAAATTGCAATTTTAATTTATTTAAATAATTTCATATAATTGTTAATGTATTATTTGTTATTGCAACATTCTTTTTTATGAGGTCAATAGTTATTTTGTCTTTTTAAAATTAATTAATTGTTCTAGGTATATTAATATTCTAATATAGGGTTTGAAGTATTTTTAATATAATTAAAATTTTGATACATTTTAATTATTTAATTTCCAGTATTATTTATTACATTAAACGAAATAAAATGTGTGTGTTTGTTTGTTTGTATTCTGTGTAATCTTAAAAGGAAATTGTAAAAATATTAATTTAATCTTGAAATACAGGGTGTTTCTTTTTTAAATTGATGGTACTCAGAGACATCTGTAGAGCAATCTAACAGCCAGACTGTCGCCAAATTTGGGAGAATGACTAAGGACGAAATGGGAAAGAGATTCTGTGAAGGAAAAAAGTAATGCCTAAATTTGCCAGTAGGGGTGGATTTGGCACTGTTGTAGCAAAACAGTAAGAATTTGCATAAAACCCAGTTGTAATTAACAAACACACAGATGAATAATCAGACAGAGGTTTCAGTGCAATAATGAAAGTTTAATTAATCAGCAAATAACCTTTTTCCTCTTTCAATGTGACCACCGTCCTGATGGACAACACATTGCATCCTGAACATTGTGTTCTCTACGGCCGAACATAACATGTCCGCAGGAATGTTCATCACAGTTCGAGAAATGTTGTCCTTCAAGGTCATCAAGTCGGGGACACCACCAAGATACCTTGGACTTTAAGTAACCCCACAGGAAAAAGTCACATGGGGTTAGATCCGGGGTTAGAACCTTCAACAAGTGCAATCGCAACATCACTAACTGTCTGTGCAGACACAGGCTTTTGCCCTCTACCAGGCCGAACTGCTAAGAATCCTGTCTCTTCAAATTTCTTTATCAAGTCTTTCAATGCATTAATTGATAGAGGACCTCTGTGCAGGTTGTTACGGGTTCTTAACTCACTAAGAGCACCTGGTGTGCTCGATTGGTTAAGATAATAAAGTTTCACAAGCAACGCATGCTGAGGTAATGAAAGATGCATGTTGAACTCTGCTGAATTCTGGAATGCACTTTGGACTTTTGTCCTTGTCTTTTAAGCTCAAATTAGGTGGTGCTGCTGTCGACCATGTCATTGTGAATTTGGATTTTGAGGTGTTACCAGCGCGTTATGCAAATTCTTAGTTGTTTCACTTCAGCAGTGCCAAATCCACTTCTACTGGCGAATTTAGGTACTACTATTTTTTTTCACAGAATCTCTTTCCCATGTCGTTCTTAGTCACTCTCCCAAATTTGGCGATAGTCCAGCTGTTAGATGTCTCTGAGTACCATCAGTTTAAAAAAAACACCCTGTATATTGTAAGGTTTTGCTTTTCGAAAAAACTAATTAATTTTAGAAAACTTGTTTTCAATATAACAATATACAGTATTTTTATACAATATAACTAAAGTAATTAGTTTTGGTTTCATTTTATTAACAAAAAGTCAAATATTCAACCTGAAACTGTATTAAAATGACTTGTCATAAATTACTAANTAGTCCAGCTGTTAGATGTCTCTGAGTACCATCAGTTTAAAAAAAACACCCTGTATATTGTAAGGTTTTGCTTTTCGAAAAAACTAATTAATTTTAGAAAACTTGTTTTCAATATAACAATATACAGTATTTTTATACAATATAACTAAAGTAATTAGTTTTGGTTTCATTTTATTAACAAAAAGTCAAATATTCAACCTGAAACTGTATTAAAATGACTTGTCATAAATTACTAATGTTGCAACGAATAGTATATTCGGCCTCAGGCTGAATAGCAGAATATTTGGCCAAACTAAACTTGATTAACACATGTACAAAAATTGGTTTGCAAACCGCATTATGGCAAGGACCCTGCTTTCTATTCGCCTGCTGTCACTACGCTTCGCCAATCACGTTAATTCTTGACAGTTGTAGTGGACAGACAATAGCGTCACGGCAGTATGTGATAAATGGTGATATCAAATGTGGATAACAATGAAAATGACCTACATGTGTAAATAACGGAAAAAGAGTAGAGAAGGACCACAAAGTGAAAATGTGAAAATAAATATGAAATTGAGTTGATAACATAATCGAACAAGTCGAGGCACCTTATTGGCACAAAATTTGCGGCCATCAATGCCAAACAATTGTTTTTATAGACTTCGGAAAGCTAAATGCTTGTAATGAAAGTCACTTAGTGTGCACGGGCGAAAGCCTGGGGCCATTCGGGCTACCATGCTCTCTGCATCTGTGAAATCATAACTGTGACTTATACGGACATCCTATCTGTCTCTTTTATCTGTTATCACCAGGCTATGAGTCACGTAATTGTAATATTGGAAATCTACGACGGAAAAGTGACGAATCGAAAGTATCGTGAGCGCGTATTATGACGTATGCATAGTCATATGTGGACTAGAGTGATAGAGGAAAGAGAAAGGGAAGAGCAAAGACGAGCGCTTTAAAAGAAGAATAAGTAGGGTCAGACCCTCAGATGTGCGATGATTCTCGAACGAATAGGTGTGTACATGTACTGATCTTTGTAATTATAAATTGTGAATACATGTGACTAATATTATTTTCTTTTTTATTTTGTGCATGTTATAAGTTATAAATAAATATAAACAAACAACACTAGCCCTATAACATTAAATCTAAATACCAAAATGATTAATTTACTGTGTTTTTGTTATTTCTTTGTAAAGTAGTAACCTTTTAGCACAGCGGGGACAAAGGGGGTACGGCTTTGTTAATTGTACCCACCTGCAGTGAGACGGTAGTACAATTGTCATATTGTAAACGAACGAACGTAAACAAGTGGCGGACGTTTGTGTGAGCTGCACTCTTGTCGGATGACGGCGGACCTGAGTGTAAGCTGTTCGGGCAAAGAAAAGGGATTGTGATTGGTCGGAAGTCCCCGTCCAAAAACCCTTAAATTGCGGGCCGAACGAGAGGAAAGGAGAGAAGGGCAAGAGACTGGTACACGGTAGTCTCAGGCACTTGGGAAGCCCGCTGAGCGTAAAGAGAGAGTGTTCTCCTCTGTTAATCTTCTCAGGGACGGGTTAGTGCTGAGACCGGACCGACCGTGCAGTTGAGCCGACTCCGAAAGCTGACTGAGGTCTCTCCCAAGAGTATTAGTTTCCAGACGCCAATCTGGCACGTGAATTCACCACGCATGATCTTCCTGTACATATGCTACGTTTATAACTTGTACAACTGTAAATAAACTATATATATATATATTCAATTTGAGTGTGGAGGTGTACTTTCCGACGAACCTGATTCACTACATCGAGTCGTGATATACAAGAAACCAACTCAACGAGGCGGAGTTGGAAAGGAACATTTTTCAATAAGATCTTCACTTTCTTACTCCTGTTTTTAGGTATTCGGTATTTGGCCAAATAGCAAAAAATAGGTTGAATACTGAATAGTAACCGAATATTTGTTACATCACTATAAATTACCCATATCTCCAGTCACTATCGACACTCTCCAAAAACTTTGTTTTGAGATGTTAGAGCATTCTCTCTATAGTCCTGATCTTGCTCCATCAGACTATCACCTTTTTAATCCCCTAAAAGAATGCTATGGGTATGAAGTTTTACATCTGATGATGATGATGATAAGACAGCAGTGCATTCATGGTTTGCAGCTCAACTGAAAACATTTTTCAATGAAGGAATAAGAAAACTTGTGGACAGATGGATAAAATGTATTGAAAAGCAGGGTGATTATGTCAGGAAATGATACATTTGACTTGCTGAAGGTTGATTACAATAAATTATACAGCCAAAGTGTGGATAATTTTTTACTTACCCTTATAACATATTGACAATGAATTATTAGTTTTAAAATATATAGCTGTTTTTGTTGCTGCTGCTACTATTTTTAAATTAGACAATGTAACATTTTCTAATTATATAGATGATTTTTAGATGACTATTATATAGACGATTTTAAAACTAGGATTCAGAATATATCATTGTTTAATTATAGTAGATTTATTTTTTTATCATATTTGTATTTAACTTTAACAAAAAATAGACATTTTTCTTCATGAAGACTTAACGTCAGTAAAAATTGGAGATTTTGGATTAGCAACTGTAAAAACACGATGGAGTGGATCACATCAGTTCAATCAACCTAGTGGTTCCATATTATGGATGGTAATTTTACATATAGTTTGTTAAAAGATTCATAAAAATTTTAAAATGTTTGGTTATTAATTAGATGTAATTACAAATCTTTCATGAAGATTTCAGATGATTAAGTTTATTATTGTATTGTATTTAAATTATTCAACGTTTCTTCATTTACATTCCATCTAGTCTATATATCTAGTATTCACTTTTTAAAACTTTCTATATTTAAGATTTTTGAAATATTTTTATTGTTATGTTTTACATAAAATCCTTTCATATTTTTTTTAAAATTTTTTCTTAATTGATTTTTTTTAATTCTTTTTTTACATCTGCCATTCTTTTCACACACTACATAAATAAATCAATATATTTTATATCAATTGCTTTTATCCATATCCTTACTTTGTATATCATCATTATCTTTAATAATTTTAAGCAAAACATCTTATAATCTTTTAATAATAATTGTCCATTATCCTAATTTATATATTTTTGTCTGATGTTGTATCATATAATGATATATTGTCTGTGTTAAATATTGATTTCACTTACAAAACATTACTATATAAATTTAAGTATGAAAAAAAAAGAGGAAATTTAAACAACTGTTTCTCAGTTAGGTCTTTTTGACTGATTGTCAGCACTTCAGAACAAAAGTTACGATAAGTCTAACAGCTAGGTTTGATTGTGCATTTACTTTGTTTCCTAATTTTGTTTTATAATTTCTCATCAATAAGTCTGTATATACTTTGATTTTTTTCTCTTTATATGAATTCTGAATATTAATTTTGAGCACCCATAATTTGATACCACTTTATATATATATATATACTTCTAAATTTACATTTCTGTAAAAAATTATAATTATTTAATTAAGAATAAACAAATATATGTTCACATGATATTGTTTTACTTACAGAAGTCTTCTATTCTTTGGTTTAGTGCCTTGGTTTGAAATTTCAAGTTGGATTAACATTTTCCAGTGTATATTGATATGAATGTGAATTTCATAAATTTATGTGAGAACCTCGCATGAAAAAAATACTAGAAGCCAGGATGCAATTTCTTGCGGTTCTAGTCAATAACCATTCCATTTCGTCAAAGAAGAAATATTACAGTTGTTAATATTTTGATCTTTGTATATTAAGTATACAGAAACTTTGCCAGCATGAAAGTGTACAGCAATCAGTTAAAATGTGAATTGGTCTTTCCCACGTTCCCACAGATTTGCAAGAATTGACTCAGCACTACTGTGATTGGATATTCTTAACTGTGTAGCATTAATGTACTCCTCTCCTCTTTCATGCACTTTGTTTCATCTACATTTGTATTCATCTGTTTCTGTAATTACTTGTATGAATAAAGCAACAGTGAATTTGATTGCTTTATCTTTCATGAGTAATAAATAAATCACAGTGAAGATAGTTAAATTTATTTATATACCTTGTTTTAAATGCTGGACAATTGTTGACCCATGCTGAAAAATCTTTCCTCTGATTTCATTGTAAATTTGTCATGTGGGAATAAACATTTCTGGATATCTCTTGTTTTTGGTTTTTGTTTATGCATGCTATATTAATATTTTTACTGCTTGTGTTACATACATGTACAGTACATAAAACATAAAATGAAACAAATGTATTTATTAAAGTTTTATATAAAAATATTTGTTTGTGAAATATTTTTAAAAAGTAAACATGCATCTAAATAAGTACGCAACTCTAAATTAAATATCTCAAAAGTTTAGACTCATGATGGACATGCATAAATTAACATCATTTTTTCATTTCATATTATTTAAGTAGAGTAATTTAAGGGAGCTTAAGATTTTTTAAAACTTTGTCCTGTGGGCACTAAGAGGGCTTTTTTCTACACAAGCCCATTGTGGGGTCAACTAGGTGGTGAGCGATGGGGCCGAATATATCCGGATGGAGCCCCCATAAAATTTCAATCCCGGGTCTGAGAGCGGTAGCCGCTCGGTCATCCGGCTGTCCGCCTTTTTTATCAATGTACATTTTTATGATTGTCACATCGCCGAAAGGAAATTTTTATAGTGTTTTGCTTATTGAGACGGAAAAATAGCTTCTGATAAGCCGGCTCCACCGTTAAGCTCCTTTGGTGTTCAACAAGGACAAAATATGAAGACATTAGTATTTCTTAAGATCTTATTTCGTCCTTTGGTAAGTCCCATAACCAATTTTTTAAATATATTGGGTAGGCTTGAAGTGGCACTAAACTGGCTGTAAAAGTTTAAAAGAAAGGACGATATACAGATTAATTAGATCCTGTTTCATTTGCTTATACAAACATTTAGATTAAATGAACTAAATATAAGGATGACAGTACAGTAAAACCCCGGTTAACGAACGTAATCCGTTCCACGAGTCCGTTCATTAATTGAAGCAATTTTTCCCATAGAAATTAATGCAAATACAATTAATCCGTTCTAGCCGTCAGTATTTTTGTAATTTTATTTGTAAAATGGGTTTTCTTTGATGAAAATATAACAAAACGTAGTATCTATCATTACAGCAACAAATATGTAAACTTTAATAAAGTAGCACTGTATATACCTTTGTTTCTACGGAGCTTAATGCTTGGAAGAGGAATCCCCCTCCATAAAAATATCGGGTAGCACTGCATCGGGAGTTTCTTCGAGTCGAGGTCTCTTTTGATAAGGAACAAGAAAGTGGTCTAAAGTTGATTGTCTTGCTCTCTTAATCAAAATTTTTCTAAAATGCGCTAGCACAGTGTCGTTCATTAAATTAATGACCCTATTAGCCACAACTTTGTTAGGATGGTGCTTCTCGATAAATTCCTGCACATCATTCCATTTTCTGCAAATTTCCTTGATCTCAGCACTAGTGATTTCTTCCCTAGCCTCTTCCTCTGACGAATGCTTTTCTTCTAAGACTTTCATCTGTTCTTCCTGCATGGCAACCAGCTCTTCTGTCGTTAGTTCATTTTGATGGTCTTTCAGCAACTCCTCCATGTCTGCATCATCTACCTCTACTCTCAAACTCTTGCCAATGGACACGATTTCATGCACTACATCAGGAGAGCTCTCTTCTTCAAATTCCTGAAAGTTTCGCTCTGGGACACAAGTTGGCCAAAGTTTCCTCCAGGCCGATTGCAAAGTGCGGTGAGAGACCTCACTCCAGGCTTTGTCAATAAGGTTGATACAATGCA